ATATTATATATATATATATATATGTATATGCATATATACATACATATATATATATATATATTATATATATATATCCGTATATATATACACATACGTATATTTATATATTTACACATTGATTCTGTATTCCTTGTTGAATAAAGAAAAATATAATAAAAATAATATAATTATGTTAAAAGTAATATAATTATATAAAAGAGAATATAATAATGCACATAAGAAGCATAGAGCAGAAGGGTTTGTCTTTGTTTACCTCTGTTCTTCTATTTCTTCTTTTGTTTGTTTTATTTGCATGTTTAGAGCGTTTATAGCTTCTGTATTTTCCTTCTGTATATGAAACAATTATAATTAAATACAATAACTTCATAAAACAAGAAAAACAAACAGATAAAACAAGCAAATAAACAAAACAAACAAACCAGTGCTTTATGCAGTGCTGCTTCTCTTTGTTTTTGCTTACAGTTTGTCTTTCAAATTTCTCTTCTATTTCTGCTGTTTCGTTTTGTATTTCTTGAATCATCTGCCTCCATACTTCACGTTCTGATGAACGACATATTATATTATATTGTATTATATATATATATGTTGTTTTTGTTTGCTTTGATTCTATTTGTTTCTCTCTCTCTCTCTCTCTGTCTCTCTTTGTTTAACTGTCTATCAAATTTAAATAATACTACAATTGATTGAACTTGCCTCTCTCCCTCTCCGCAGTAAGCCTTGCAATTTTCTCCTGCATTTTTTTGCTAGCGTCTTCTTCTGCTGATAGAAGAGAAAACAAATTGCTGTCTGTTGCCGCTCCATCAGAAGAAGCAGCAGAAATAGACGAAAGACAGTCCGAATAAAACTCTATTTCTGCAAATTTGCTTCATAAGCTCAAAAGCTATTATTTCTATTGAATCAGAAATCTTTTTGAAGGCCCCTTAACAAGTATATATATATATATATATATATATATATATACATTTGTTAATGTATAAATTAATTGTAATTATTCCCAATATTCACCGGATTCCGTCGCCTTCCTCTTGTTTTTCAGTTGTGTTGTTCTCTGGCGCTCTGCGTTGAGTTCGAGTCGAAAGCTGCGGTAAATTTTCATCCTTTTTTCGATGAGTTCGGTGAAACGACGAAAAGAAACAACAAGGTCCTCCATTATTATGTCTTTGAAGAGAGGAGAGAGTACTATACTATATAACTCCTCAGCTTTCCTACCGTCTACTTGCAACTCAGCAACCTCCCTATACACCTCAAACTAAAATGCTGTTTCCTCGCGATCTACCGTGAAACTAAAGGTAGCACGATATACAATTGATGAAAAAAGTATAATAATTTCAATGGACAGCAGGAAACGCGTGAAAAACGTATTAGTAAATACCGTTGAAAGGGTTTTCCTTCTCTGTTTTCAACAGGTTATGAAGCGTGAAGAAAAGAACTTTCCCCTCCATTGGCTGTAATATATTTTATGAATTTTCGTTGTTTGCACTCCACTCACTGAGTTTCCTCCACACATCCATTTTTTGTACGGATTGTCTGCTTAACAAAGCGTACTGCATACAGCACTGACCTCGCAGAGTTGCATTCTCTCAGCCGCATGAACAGCAGCAGCAGAGGCGCAACAAAACCTCTTCATTTTGATGCGGGTTATAAACAACTGCAGCAGCAAGAATACGATGAAGAACAAGAAAACATAAACGTCAGCAAAATATATATATTTATATATATATGCATGTATATATATATATATTATTATGTATATGCAGGTCTTTCCCCCGTCTTGTTTGCTTATAGTTCTTCACCCTTATCTGCTTTCTTTGTGAGTGGCTTTGATGTATTCTTCTCGAGGAACTCCATCAGACCGTCTACAGTTCTCGAACCCTCGTACTTCATCGGCGTCTTCTCTCCTGCTTTAACGAAGAAAATTGTAGGGAAGCTGTTCCATTCGAAGCTATCAAGAGGTGTTTCATTAGTTGTACCGTCCATCTTTGTTACAAGTACATGCGTATGATCTTTGATTTTTTCTGCGAATTCTCTATAGATAGGTTCGAAGTTCTTGCAATAGCCGCACCAAGGTGCATACACCTCAAGGAAGACATCATGTGTATCCGATATAACCATCTGCTCTAATGTCTTCCCCACAACAACTTTAACAGGCTCATCATTTGTTTCAGGTACAGGATCAGACTTCAAAGAGCGTTCAATCTTACCATCAGTAACATCTTTCATAAATTGAGCAACCTTTGCTGCATCCTTCATTGCTGCAGCAGCATCAGGTAAGATAAATCTGCCCTTCTTTGTTTGTGCAACAAGTCCAGGGAACTCTGTAATTCCTAAAGCTCCTTCTGCATGACCCTTGAAAGTATCTGTATCCAACCAGACGAAATAGTATGTATTTCTGCTTTCTTTTGCTGCTTCTCTGATGCTCTCTTTATACGCATTGAAATCGTTCTCAGCCCCGCAGAACCAGACAAGTGCAGCATCTCTCTCAATATATTTTCTGAAGTTTTCACCGTTAATCGGTCCAAAGAGAGGGAATGACTCGGTATGTACAAATGTCTTAAGCTCGCTTGTGATGCTGCTGCTGCTGCTGCTGCTGGGGTTGAAGGTGAATGAGCCTTCTTCAAAGCGTACAGCAGTAATTTTATCTTTATCTCCGGTGTATGTACAGTAGAACTTCCCAAGCTGGCGGCTTTCGTTTGCAACAGACTCAAATATCTTTGCTAGTTCGCTGTCTTTTGAGGTAAATGAGCCGAAGAAGGCTACAGGGGACTCCTTCGTTATCTTCTCTTTCATTTCTTCTTCTGAACTGACTTCAACTACTGCCGGCCCTGTCATCATCTCTACCCAGTCTACAATCGCTTCAGCCTGCACATCAACAAACAAACAAATCAAACTACCACGCGCTTGCTGCTGCTGCTGCTGTTGTTGTTGCTGCTGCTGCTGCTTTCTATAATTAATACAGACACCGAAACAAACAAGAAATATAAGACGGAGTAATAGAGTATTTAAAGCATAATTATATTTATCTTCGCATTCATATAACCAACTGTATACAAACCATAGACATATATATATATATACATTCATATACATCTACATCTATGATTACATCAATATATACAAATATATATACATCTATACATACATTATATATATATGTATATATATCAAATAATATATATACATATACACACATATATACATCTACATCTGCATCTACATATACATAATACATATTATATACAATATTATATTACATATATATATACATTATATATATTATATATTATATATTATATATATATAAACTTACAGTTCTTCCTCCAGTGTACTGTTCAGGCTTTTGATTTCTGAAGAGTGTAACGGTAGGAAATTCGCTGATCTCGTGTTTATTCGCGAGGTCTGTCTCAGCAGTTGCGTCGACCTTGCCCAATATAACTTTGCTGTTCTTATCTTTCAGCATCTTTGCTGCCTTTGCGTATTCAGGAGCCATGCGCTTGCAGTGTCCGCACCTAACACATAATAAATAAATAAATAAATAATTAATAATAAATAAATCTATATATATATATGTATATATATATAGAGTTATTTGTACATTTAGCAATCGATCAATATACACGTTAATATATTTATTCATAAACTTTATTTATTTATTGAGGGTTTTTAAATAGTTTTAAATTAATTTAGTTTGTTAATTTGAGGGAGAGATGTGTTTAACTCTATTATACTTTATCTATTTGTATAAATAATATATATATATATATGTATATATCTATATATAAATCTATATCTAATGAAGTATATATAAAAGATGTGAATATAATATATATATCTATTTATATATATATATATATATCTAATGAAGTATTATATATAAAAGATGTGCATATAATTCAACTGACAACTGTAATGATAAACGCGAGAGAGAGGTAAAAGATTAAATAATTATTATTTATTCGTCCGTACAAATAAATACATAAATATATATATATATATATATATATATAGCTATAAATTATGCAGCTTGCTCTACATACAAAGAAAAAAACACTCAAAATAATGCTGCTGCTGCTGCTTCGCTTCTTCTGATGTTGCTGCTGCCTTCAGCAGCAGCAGCAGCATTAGCAGCAGCAATAACAGCAGCTAGGGGTTTATACTGATTACAGCACAGACATACAGACATTCAGCAGATGCAGAGAGAGGTAAAGCAAGAGATTAAGAGAGACAGACAGACAAACAAAGCAAAGAAACAAAGATAAACACACAGAGAAGCAAACAGCAAAGCAACAAAGATTAAACACAGCATTAGAAAGCAGGTAAGAGAACCAGCTCTATAAACAAATGTTGTATAAAGATATTTACTGTTAATTATGTTTATCTTTCTATTTATTATTACTATTATTTTCTTTCTGCTATCTCTGTCTCTGTCTTGCGTTGTCCGTGTGTGCTGTATTTATCTCTGTCAACATAAATATAATTTTCTCTTGTTTGTTTGTTGTTTATTTGTTTAATTTATTAATTTATAAATTTATTTAACTCTCTTTGTCTGTCTGTGTGCGTCTTTCTATGTTTGCTGCTGTCTGTCTTAGTTTCTACTTGCGTGTAGATTTATCAGGTTTTGTTTGATGATATAAAATAATAAATAAATTTGGGTGTCTATACTCTTCTCTTTTATGCATTTGTTTGTGTGCTGTCTGTCCGTCTGTCCGTCTGTCTGTCTGTCTGTCTGTCTATTAATTAAATATGTTTGTCTTTGCTTATTTTTATATCTTTACTCTTATACAGCTTACCACGGGGCATAAAACTTTACAAGGACAACCTCATTCTGCTTTAATGTGTCTTCAAAGTTCGCCTTAGTCATAACAAGAACAGCAGATTCATCATCTTTTGATGCTGCTGCTTCCTCTGATGCTGCTGCTGCTGCTGCTGCTACAGCAGCAAACACTCCGAATGAGAGCAGCAGCGAACGCAAACTCTTCCTAATCATTTTCTATTAATCAGCAATACACAAATACAATAAATAAAATATTTATAATTCAAACAACACAAACAGCAAACACTCCGACCACGCAGCCGTCTCGCAGCAGCGCTGCCGCCGGGGGGGGAGGTAAGCTGCTGCTGCTGCTGCTGCTGCTGCTGCTGCTTGCTGCTGCTGCTGCTGCTGCTGCTGCTGCTGCTGTTGCGTGTCTTGCAGCGCACAACCGCAGCATAGCGAGACGGAAGGCTCTTAGTAAGTGTGCATAGAGGTAAAGAAAGAAAAAATAATATTTACAATATGCTGTTTGCTGCTGCTGCTGTTTGAGGTGTATGTACACTGCAGCAGACGCAGCAGCACGGCTTTGCTCTTAGCTTTTTATTTTCTCTTTATTTTCTTTTACTTCTCTTCTTCCTTCTCTTAATAATTATATTATATCCCAATAATATAATTGTTTAATATTCAAATCTTCTCTGCAGCAGCTTCTCTATTATACAATTATTACCTTACTAAACCCTTTCTCTCTTCACCACCCTCTGCTGCTGCTGCTGCTGCTGCTGCTGGAGCGCATACACTGCAGCAAGCAACGCATGCAGCACACTTCAATTCTTTCTTCTTTTTGCAGTGTACATACACCCCGGGGGCCTCTAGTGAGGGGTCTATGCCGCACCAGCTGCTGCGCGGGTTGGCTGCTGCTGCTGCTGACTGCAGCAATGAACGCCACTCGCTGCTCAAGAACCCTTCAAAACAGCAGCAGCAGCAGCTGCTGCTGCTGCACAGGCAGCAGCAGCAGTTGCAGCAGCAACAGGTGCAGCAGCAGCAGCAGCAATGTCAACAGGATGAGCAGCAACAGTTGCAGATTCAAGGGGTGGATCAGCAGCTGCAGCAGCAACAGGTAGACCAGCTGCAGCAGCAAGAGGTAGTCCAGCTGCAGCAGCAAGAGGTAGTGCAGCTGCAGCAGCAAGAGTATTCACTGAAGCAGCAGCAGATTAACGTTGAGTCGGCTTCTTCATCTGCTTTGCTTCCTCTCTGCTCTCTGCTTTATTCGTCCTGGGGTGGCTGCCCTCCCTTCGGTGCTGCAGATTTATTAATGTATGAGAGGTGGCGATGCAGCACAGTTGCGCATAGGAATCTCTGCTGTACGTACACCTCAGGAGAAAGCCTCTTAGGAGTTGATTTAATAGAAAAAGAAGCAGCAAGAAGAGCAGCTTGCTTCCAGCTGCTGCAGCAGCACCTGCCTAAAGGGCTGCCGATGGACTTAATAGAGAAGACAGCTTGGTTAGAGTGCTTTACATATTTCTGCAAGAAGGAGACAGCTATGCATCATAGCAGCAGCAGCAACAGCAGCAACAGCAGCAGCAGCAGCAGCAGCAATTGCTGCTTGCATCCCGTCTCGCTCCCTTCTTTGATAGCTCGGCTGTCTCGGCGTCTTTGGTTTGTCTGCCCGTCTGCTTTTTGCTTTGGACTGCAGCAGCTGCCTTCCTCAGCAGCAGCAGGAGCAGCAGCAGCAGCAGCAGGAGCAGGAGCAGCAGCAGCAGCAGCAGCAGGGGGTGTTGGGGTGCTCGAGAAACTACCCGAGTGGTTTAGCTTCTTTTGTGAAGAGCTGGCTTCTTTTTTTTTGTTTGTTTTGCTGCACATGTCTGCACTTATAACGCAGCACTGCGGGGTGTATGTACACCTGGTTGATAGAGAGTGGTGCGCTCGCTTTAATCAACTCAAATGGATGCTTACTTCTTTCTCTTCTTCTTCTTCATCATCATCTTCTTCTTCTTCTTTGCTTAATGACAGCAGCAGCAGCAGCAGCAACAGCAGCAGCAGCAGCAGCAGCAGCAGCAGCAGCAGCAGGTGTGGGGTGTTTTTAGAGGGGTTATTAGGAGGGGGGTTTGATTTACCTCCTTTGGAGTGTATCGACAGGTCTTTATCAAAATATTTTGCGATGAATGCTTCGTCTTCACCGCACTCCTTTTGGCTGTTCTTTAATATGCAGACAGCGCAGTGGGTTGTTTGCGCAGAGACGCATGCATTAAAGTCCTTTCCGGTGCTGCTGCCGCAGAACCCTGCTGCTGCTCCTGCTGCTCCTGCTGCTGCTGTTGCTGCGGCTGCGGGTGCTGGAGCAGCAGAAACGCCAGCTGCTACAGGCTCAACTTCAAGTGGGAAGCAGCAGCAGCAACAGCAGCAGCAGCAACAAGAACAAGGGAAAGGTGCCGCTGCCGCCGCAGCAACAGCAACAGCAACAGCAACAGCAGCAGCAGCAGCAGCAGCAGCAGCAGATGCGGGCGTTTCATATAAGAGGAAGCAGTTGCTGCCTTCTTTAGTAGATGCAGCAAGAGAAGAAGCATTAGAGTTTCTTTGTTTGCTCGGGGCCGTCCACCCTGCTGCTCTACCATCGCACATTTCTTACTTACACTCTCTCTTCACAGACACGCAGCAGCAGCAGCAGCAGCAGCAGCAGCAAGAGCAGCAGCAGCAAGGGCAGCAGCAAGAGCCACTGCAACAACAACAGCAGCAGCAACCACAGGTATTACAACAGGAACAGAAGCAGCTGCTATTGCAGGAACAGCAGCACAAGCAGCAGCAGCAGCAGCAGCAGCAAGATGCGGGGTTGAAGGTTCTAGGCGTTGTTTCTTCAAACGATGAAATAAACATAACTCCACAGACACCGGAAAACGCAAATCGCTCTACAGCTTCTGCTGCAGCTAATGCGGCTGCTGCTGCAGCTAATGCTGCAGCTAATGCTGCAGCTGCTGCTGCTGATGCTGCTGCTGCTGCTTCAGCATTAATGGATAGGGAAGCAGCAAAAGAAAACGAAAAAAGAATTGATGAAGTCGCAAGCAGAAGACGGCGAGAAACGGAAGACTCCAGATACACTGCAGCAGCAACAGCAGCAGCAGCAGCAACAGCAGCAGCAGCAGAAACAGCAGCAGCAGCAGCAGCAGTAGTAGAAGTGGACACAGAAGAAACAGCAACAGCAGAATCAGAAGCAGCAGCCGCAACAGCTGCAACAGCTGCGCCAGCAGCAGCAACAGCAGCAGCAACAGCACCAGCAGCAGCAACAGCAGCAGCAGCAGCAGCGCGTGCGGCCTGTGCAGCAAAGAGAAAAGAGAGGGAAGAAGTTTGCTGTGAATCTCCTGAAGAAAAACAAAAACACAAAAAACAAAATAAAAAACACATCAAATCCATCCAACAAACAGATAAACAACAAACACAGCAGCAGCAGCAGCAGCAGCAGCAGCAGCAGGGAGAAACGCAGCAGCGAAAGCAGCAGCAGCAGCAGCAGCAAAAGCAGTCGGAAGAGTCCACAGGGGAGCCGCACAAACCTCCGAAGGACAGAAAACAGCAGCAGCACCATAAGCAGCAGCAGCATCATAAGCAG